ACACACACACACACACACACACACACACACACAATGTGCAATAGCAGTACTGGCACCCAACTGGCTCTGAGAAGGTTGCATCAGGGCCTCTCTTCTATCCTCAATTCTCACTGGTTGCTGGCCCTACACTCCTGCCTGAGTTGATGGTTGGGGGTACAATTCCTTCTGCATATAAACTCCTATTTCTCTCCCTGACAGGTCTTACCTGACCAGCCTGTTGACTGTCATATGATGTGCTCATGGGATTGGCCCAGGGAAATAGCAGGTTGTTAGGAAACAAGTAGTAAGGAATTACTGAAAGCAAATGTATTCAAATTATCAGTTTTATGTGCCTACCTTGTAAGGTGAGGCTTGGGAACATAAGGGGATGCCAACTGATTTCCAGAAAGCATGAAAAAGATACATGACCTTGCAACCATGATGAAAAAGATGCATCATGCTTACTGTCAAAAACAATGAACACAATGGAAACAATTTAAATTTCTTCAAAATCTTTTTTTTGCCAGTTACAGCTCTGCCAAGATTCACTAATCACCAGTTTTAATGATTTTTTTCACTGCACTGCAAAATAATCTTCCCTCTTTTATATACTAAGAAAATACATGCCCTTCTCATGAAAATTATATCACACATGGTATTATTTAATAAGTTAAAACAAATCCTGAAAAGTTTTTTTTGTGAAACTATTCTTTAATAAAACTCTAAGAACTGTGATGTAAAGAGGGGAAAATACTTCACTGCAATTATGCTCAGAGCATTGTTAAATATGATTCTAATGCTAAGGGTGGGAGGAAGAAGTGCTTTGCCAAAGTTTCTGTAACTGTTTCACCACCAAAGCGGTTTGCCCATGGACTTTACTACCGGGTTGTGAAGTACCATGACCATTCAGGAAGGAGACGCCATGTTTCTCAGGCTCCCAGGTGTCTCAAATAGAGAGTGGGAAAGGGCGAGAAGCCATGGGCAAGCCTCCTTGCCAAGACCGTGGATGAAATCATCATCAACTCCACCCCAGCATCCAGCTCAGCTTCTTCAGAATTTCACAGGCTACAGCCCTCGAGCCAGCCTCCTGTTAGGTTCTCAAAACAGAAAAAATAAAAGTGGATCCTCCCCACAAAACAGTTGGGAATCCTTACATTATACAATTACTTTAAACATGTTCTTCTTGTGTAGTTTAATTAAAGAGTAGATTAGGATCTTAAGAAAGACTTTTCCACAAAGACTCTTCCAAATTAATTTCCTTTTAAAATGTCCTTTCAAACCCTTAAACAGCTTTAAAAAAGAAAGTTTTATGGCAAGGATTAAAGACCTGCATTGGATAATTAACTCATTCTTAACAGAAAAGAAATAGTAAATTATGAACTCTTTATGCTTGATCAGAAAACAAATATTTATAACTTTTCATCCACGACAAGTCCTTTAGTTCAATACTTCAGGGATTCCATTCTGTATTAGCTTCTGTATAACAATACTGCAAAGCTGTAATGACATCCTCTATAATCAGCCCATTCCCAATGTAATTAAGAGTGCCACAGATTTAAAACTGTGACCTCACTGCTGAGGAGAAAGGTGTGTGGAAGAGATAATTTATATTGCATGTAAAATGACATCCTGTTATGCCAACAAATTTAAAAAGTAAAAGAAAAAAGTAACATTATAATAGTCATCATTTAAGAGGGAGTTATTATGTTCCTGATCGTAGAGTTTTTCCTCCGTCATTTCTACCATCTGACTCTAATTGATAAACTCTTTCCTATCAAACTGTATGTTCTTCCCACGTTACAAAAATTCTAAACCCCTTCAGATGCCTCTCAATTCCCCTCATTCAACTACAGTCACTATGGGGATAAAGATATATATGAAGTGGGTGATTCCTGGCAAAATGTCATGCTAGTGTAAACCAAGTTTTAATTGGCAGAGAGGTCCATCAGTGAAGCACATAACTTCTAGGCAATGTGAATAAAATTTTATCTCAATTTTATCTCTCTTTATCAAGAAATTGAACACCAAATATAATGTATACATATTATAATGGTTCAAGCAAATCATTTTATCAATATAACAATAACCACATTAATAAAAAAGAACATCAATAACCCTACCAAATGCTTATTATTATGCACCAGCACTATGAGACTCTTAGATTATCTCATTAAATTTTCACAAATGGCTGCTGAGATAATACAATCATTGCCTCCATTTTCCAGACGGGGAAACTGATGCTCAAGGATGCTAAATAACAGCTCAGGTTAATTAGCTGGTAGAGGAGGGCCAATATTGAAGCCAGGTCAACTTGAACCTCAAACTTGTATCTATTTTTACAGCTTTCAGGCTAGACGGTCTACTAGTTCTGTTCCACAAGCTAGCTAGCTATATATGTATGTATGTTTATTTTGAGAGAGAGAGAGAGAGAGAGAGAGAGAGAGAGAGAGAGAGAGAGGAGTTCCCAAGCAGTCTCTGCACTGTCAGCACAGAGCCCCATGCAGGCGCATGAACCGTGAGATCATGACGTGAGCCGAAGTCTGATGCTTAAGTGACTGAGCCACCCAGGTGCTCCATACACTAGCAATTTAAACCAACTATTTTTGCCTTTACTCTTCCACTAAGGCTCCTGGTGAGCTACAACTGTTACCAATCAGCAAGGGGGTGGGGGCAAACCACCTTGTAAAAGCAAAACAGAGCTGTTTATCAAGATTCTCCTTGCCAGTCAAGTACAGGAATTCCTTTCCATATTCTGTATAGCTGATAAATCTTTCTAAATTACATAAATGTTTAGTCACAGCTGGGAAGTTGCTGAAGTACCAATCACACAACAGAACGCACTCTTGTATTTTGCAGATTAAAGAAGCTAATTGACCAAAAAACTGAGTCCCAGGAGAAGAAGGAGCAAGAAAAGGAAAAGAAGGTCACCGCCCTGAAAGTGGAGCTGACCAAACTGAAGTCTTTTGCTTTGATGGTGGTGGACGAACAACAAAGGCTGACGGCACAGCTTGCCCTTCAAAGACAGAAAATCCAAGACCTAACCACAAGTGCGAAGGAAACACATGCTAAACTAGCCCTCACTGAAACCAGAGTTCAGGAAGAAGAGCAGAAGGCGAACAGACTAGAGAAAGAACTGCAAACACAAACCACAAGGTTTCACCAGAACCAAGAAACAATTATGGCAAAGCTCACCAATGAGGACAGCCAAAATCGCCAGCTTCGACAAAAATTGGCAGCACTCAGCCGGCAAATCGATGAATTAGAGGAGACAAACAGGTCTTTACGAAAAGCAGAAGAGGAGCTACAAGATATAAAAGAAAAAATTAACAAGGGAGAATATGGAAACTGTGGTATCATGGCTGAGGTAGAGGAGCTCAGAAAACGTGTGCTAGAAATGGAAGGGAAGGATGAAGAACTCATAAAAATGGAGGAGCAGTGCAGAGATCTCAATAAGAGGCTCGAAAAGGAAACATCACAGAGTAAAGACTTTAAACTTGAGGTTGAAAAACTCAATAAAAGGATTATGGCTTTGGAAAGATTAGAAGATGCCTTCAACAAGAGCAAACAAGAATGTTATTCCCTGAAATGCAATTTAGAAAAAGAAAGGATGACCACAAAGCAGTTGTCACAAGAACTGGAGAGTTTAAAAGTAAGGATCAAAGAGCTAGAAGTCATTGAAAGTCGGCTGGAAAAGACAGAATTTACCCTAAAAGAGGACTTAACTAAATTGAAAACGTTAACTGTGATGCTGGTAGATGAAAGAAAAACAATGAGTGAAAAATTAAAGCAAACTGAAGATAAGTTGCAAGCTGCTTCTTCTCAGCTTCAAATGGAGCAAAATAAAGTGACGACGGTTACCGAGAAGTTAATTGAGGAAACAAAAAGGGCACTAAAGTCCAAAACTGACGTGGAAGAAAAAATGTACAGTGTCACCAAGGAGAGAGATGATCTGAAAAACAAACTGAAAGCAGAAGAAGAGAAAGGAAATGATCTCCTGTCCAAAGTTAATATGTTGAAAAATAGGCTTCAATCATTGGAAGCAATTGAGAAAGATTTCCTAAAAAACAAATTAAATCAAGATTCTAGTAAGTCCACCACAGCATTACACCAAGAAAACAATAAGATTAAAGAGCTCTCTCAAGAAGTGGAAAGACTGAGACTGAAGTTAAAGGATATGAAAGCCATTGAGGATGACCTTATGAAAACAGAAGATGAGTACGAGACTCTAGAACGTAGGTATGCTACTGAACGAGATAAAGCTCAATTTTTATCTGAAGAGCTGGAACGAGTTAAAATGGAACTTGACAAGTACAAGTTAGCAGAAAAGACAGAGTCCAGCCATGAACAATGGCTTTTCAAAAGGCTTCAAGAAGAAGAAGCTAAGTCGGGACACCTCTCAAGAGAAGTAGATGCATTGAAAGAGAAAATTCATGAATACATGGCAACTGAGGACCTGATATGTCATCTCCAGGGAGATCATTCAGTTCTGCAAAAGAAACTCCATCAACAAGAAAACAGGAACAGAGATTTAGGAAGAGAGATTGAAAACCTCACTAAAGAGTTAGAGAGGTATCGGCATTTCAGTAAGAGCCTCCGGCCTAGCCTCAATGGAAGAATTATCTCTGACCCTCAAGTATTTTCTAAAGAAGTTCAGACAGAAGTAGTAGACAATGAGCCACCAGATTACAAGAGTCTCATTCCTCTGGAACGAGCAGTCATCAATGGTCAGTTATATGAGGAGACTGAGGACCAGGATGAGGACCCTAATGATGAGGAATCAGTGCTGTCCTTCAAATGCAACTCATCTACCCCCTGTCCTGTTAACAGGAAACTATGGATTCCTTGGATGAAATCTAAGGAGGGCCATCCTCAGAATGGAAAAATACAAACTAAACCCAATGGCAACTTCATGCAACCTGGAGATCTAGTCCTAAGCCACACACCTGGGCAGCCACTTCATATAAAGGTTACTCCAGACCATGTCCAAAACACAGCCACTCTTGAAATCACAAGTCCAACCACAGAGAGTCCTCACTCTTACACAAGCACTGCAGTGATTCCAAACTGTGGCACCCCAAAGCAAAGGATAACCATCCTCCAAAATGCCTCCATAACACCGGTGAAATCCAAAACTTCTGCTGAAGGCCTCATGAACTTAGAGCAAAGCATGTCCCCAATTACCATGGCAACCTTTGCCAGAGCACAGACCCCAGAGTCTTGTGGTTCTATAACTCCAGAAAGGACAATGTCACCTATTCAGGTTTTGGCCGTGACTGGTTCAGCAGGCTCTCCTGAGCAGGGACGTTCCCCAGAGCCGATAGAAATCAGTGCCAAGCATGCGATTTTCAGAGTCTCTCCTGACCGGCAGTCATCATGGCAGTTTCAACGTTCAAACAGCAACAGTTCAAGTGTGATAACTACTGAGGATAATAAAATCCACATTCACTTAGGAAGTCCTTACATGCAAGCTGTGGCCAGCCCCGTGAGACCTGCCAGCCCTTCAACACCACCACAGGATAACCGAACTCAAGGCTTAACTAATGGGGCACTAAACAAAACAACCAATAAAGTCACCAGCAGTATTACTATCACACCAACAGCCACAACTCTTCCTCGACAATCACAAATTACAGTAAGTAATATATATAACTGACGACTCTCACCCTCATCCAGTCCATAGTGATATTATTGCAAGGAACTCAGTCCTTTTTAATTATCCCTCCACATCCCCCAAAAGACTGACTGAACTTGTACTTTGGGAAGGTTTGTGCATGAACTATCCAAGAGTATCTGAAACTAACTAAGTGTTGCCTGCATAGTCCTATCAAGTGTGCACTTACTGTATATCTTTTCATTTACATACCTGTATGGAAAATATTTACTCTGCACTTGTATAAATACATCTTTATGTATTTCATTTTCCATAACTCACATTAATTTGACTGCAACTTGTCTTGATGAAATACTTTAACATTTTAAAGCAGTAAATAATTTGTTATTTTTACCATTGCTTGCTGAATTTTTTTTTTTTT